TCCGAATACTCCTCCGATAAAACTTAAACGAATAAAGTCCTTTAATTAAAATTTAACTGACCGAATTTCCCCACTTAATTCCAACGATCATTATCTTGATTGAATTTATCCGACTTAATCCCTTCATGTACCTTCAACCCATCAACTTTGATTTAGTAAATTCAAACGGTTAAGCTACTCCCATTTAAATTCCTCGAAACAAAATCATCTGCTTAAGCTTAACCGAATAAAGTCACTTAAATAAATTGGCCCAACTAAATTCATCCGGTCAAGCTAATCCAAACAAATCAACCTAACTAACTTCAAATGATTCAAACTCTTCTGATTAAAATCCACCTGATCAAATTCCTCTGACTAAAAATTCAACCAATTCAAAAGTCAACTGCTTGGACTTATCAAGTAAATTCAGTTAACGAAAATTGATTGGTTACTACAATGTTTGACCATTAACCGCCGAGCTCAACAAACCTCTTGCAAGTCAATTTGTATCTGATATTAATAGTGAATATAGTCTTAAAAAAATAAGAAGAGAAACTCAGTTTAAACGGTAAAACGAAACTGCCTTCCGTATTGAAAATTCGAGTCACGTTTTGACTACTTAAACCGGTAACCTGAGTCGGCTTGACTAATAATCATGATCAAAACCACAAATGTTCATTATGCATCCCACGCTCGCCAAAATTCTGTTGTTTCCTTAAAATTGACCGTTGACCAGTGGAAAGCAAAAAAATGTGCGTATGTCAAAATAAACTCCTCAAAGCAAAATCTTCGCACCGATTTAACGTTGAAACTGCCGTAAAATCCCGCTCATCATCAAATAAATCCCATGACTTGGAGACGAGCGGACAGTGTGATTTTTCCTGCAACAGCAACAGACTGAACAAACCGGTTAGCAGTTAGTTAAAATGCCATGCAAAATGAGATGATGTGCGAAATGAACCTAATAATCTCGGGAAAAATTTGGGGTATTACAACAGCCTCATACTACCATCCTTCTTCTTTACCAACAATACTGGAGCTTCCCAATGAGACACATTTGGTATCCCAAATTCCTTTTTCCAACTTTTCTAATTGCTTCTTCAACTCTGTTAACTCCGATGCCAATATCTTGTATGGTGCCATAGAAACATGTATGGTAATAGGGATAAGATCAATAGCAAACTCCACCTCTCTCTCAGGCGGCACATCTGAAATATCATCGAAATCCACAACATCTGTAATGTTAGCAACAACATAGCTTCGACATTGCCTGAGCTCTCATAATCAGCAGCACACCACACCACCATCCAAACGATTGATAAACACATGTTTTAATTCCCACCAATCGGCTCTAAGACTAACATCAACTAGTTCCAACTAAACATAAACCTTGCCCATCCTTAGGAAAGACGTTAGAATACTCCATTATCACTGGCCCAACTCTAGCCAAAACATCGCCTTTCCCATCACCATGAAGCGACCAACGAGAACACCCGACAGTCTCCCCACAAGGATCACACCATTCTCAAAACAGTTGAACTATCCAACAATGCACTTTCGCATGCAGTAATACAATATTCAAGCTCTCAACAGTTGAAATATCAAAGAGAAACAGTCGCTTCTCCCTCACTTGTTTCATTCCTAACCTGCAAATGGAAAACAAAACAAGCATCAACAGTGTTTTCACACACACACACATGTTGCATACTAGAGAACAAACATAATTAAACAACCTGGTTGGATGGACCGACCTGCTCTGATACCACTATGTAACACCATAAATAATCTTCCGCATAATATAAATAAAATCAGAGTAATTATCCACAAAATCATATTTAAGAATGTCACACTTTCAACAATCACTTACTCATTCAATCAGATATGTAACACATGTCCTTTTTAAAAAAAATATATTTATAATAACATTATCAGCAAAACATAGTTGAAGGTTAATTCATATAGCAGCGGAAATAACATTTAATCATTCAAGTTAATAACTCAAGGCATATCATGATTGATAGTGTCATAAAGAAACAACAGTCATAGGAAATAAAGCATGTTAATCAACCGCCAATAATAAAAAGCATGCAACGTTCCATAACCCTCGTGTTACATATTAGAGCAGACGCCAAACTAAAAGAATAAACGGAAGACTTCGTCTTCCACTCACATCTGAGCTCCTACTGCGAATTATCTGCATGTTACCCACGTGGAGGCAAAATTCCAACATAAGGGGTGAGATATCATGATAATCTAAAGGAAAGCATGTTAAACAATATGCATTAGGTTAACACACGCGTTATCACGCATTCTACAACACAACACACCCAACACCAACACTAAGTTATCCAAACATAAAGATAACACAACAACAATTCAACTACTTAGCTCATATTAGTCAACCAACAACATCAACACGAACACTAAGTTATCCAAGCATAAAGATAACACAACAACAGTTCAACTAAATATCTCATATTAATCAACAAACAAAATCATCACTAATTATCCACCAACCAACATGGAAATCACATGATAACAAATTCAATTAATCACAACAATACCACATATTAGCACCATAGCCACATAGTTAAAAAATATAATGCAATGGGACTCACAACCAGAATCAATACATATGCATGTGGTACCAATTTTCGCAAACACTTAGGTTCACCGTTCTGATCCCCACCTCCTAGGATTAGAACCACTCACTGATCCATCACCTCCGAAACAGCTACCGGGCCAATCCACACAATGGGATTTTAGGCTCACCAACAACGGACCATTTATCCACAAATGTATGCAATTAGACCATTTATGCATACAACAACAACAACAACAACATTATCGTGCACAATAGTCCACCACCATGGTTATCGTACACCGCCCAAATTGACCAACAAGCATGAATTTCATACAATATGGATGTATATGTATATATATCATGCAATCACAACAAAATCATTAAAACATACTCATATTACCACCATTAACATCACAACAACATCATTAAAACATCTTTGCAACAACACTCAAGATTCGTCGCTTACAACACGACTTCTTAAGATATACAACAAACAACAATTACATTATTCAATATATTAGACAAAAAATATATTAGGAAAATGATTCATCTAATTATAACATGTTAAAAATCTACTTATTAACTTTCCAACGCTTCGAACGGTTTATCATTTAAATTAACCGTTAAAAATTTATGATCAAAACCCTTTTTTACATTTTTCTACCTATGAGTCGACCAAAAAAAATACTTCGACATTCAAAATGTAGAGAGATCTATAAACCATTTACTAAAATAATCTTCAAAATTTTCGCCCTTTGTCTTTAGTCAACTTTACTTGGTTGGTAAATATAATAAAATACCAATTTTGGCTTTGTTGAAGAATGTCAATTTTAATTAGAGAACTCCTAAATTAATTAATATTGCAATGTCCTGTCATCTCTATGTTCTTTTTTGCCAAAGATTTTGCATACACGCACATAAATCCAATATTGTATAATATATCCAAAACTCAGAAATTTCACTTTGATTTCTTCCCATTGACTCGGTCTAATATTAATACCCAAACAAAACAAAAAAAGGAAATCTAATTGGTTGAGCTTTGACAAGCCATTTTCATCTTATCAAGTTCAACAAAAAATTATTCTACTCAAAATTTAAAATTCAAATTCTCTTAAATAATTTGTCTCTAAATACAGCTCATTAACCATTTAAGTTTAATTAACTGATTAATGACATTTACCGGTGAGATGATTCAATCTTCTGTAATTGTGATTTAAAGCCATAAGTTGATAGCAAGTGGTAATGATCTCAAATTCCAATTTTCTTCTTTATTTTAATTAAAGTGTGGTTCACGTTGGAATAAACTTTCTATCACAACAAAATGATTCTAAAAGAGACAAGCTCCACTAGAGTGAATTAATAATGAGTGGGTCTACTTGTCACTTTCTCTTGAGCCCAACACCCAACCATTCTTGTTATTCACTAAATTACATTATTTATGTAATTTGAGTGATATCTAACCTCGTGTCAACCACATCTATAATAGTAGTAGTAATATTCTACCTAAAATATTCTATTCTATAGCTCAATTATTGAGAATAGAAATGGCTAATTACAACAAGCAAAGTGTCCTCGTGCTATTGTAGTTTGCTAAAACGCGCTTAGAATAAACTAATCAAGATTTCGCTAAATTGACCAATACTAGAAGTCTCACACTAAATATTTCTTCCTCTATTTTTTATTATAAATTGTTTTAAACTTTCCACACATATTAATTAATTAATGAGAATGAGAAGTTTGGAAGAATTCTACAATATTATTCTTTAGGAAGATAAATTTAAATAATTTAAAAAATAGATGATAATAAATACGTAAGAATATAACAATTACATTAATAATACATTGATATTGCAAAATGACTAGTATTTTAGTATAAATTATTTATAAAAAAAACTTATAAAAAAGAACAGAATTAATTTTAATATGTTTGATTGTTTTCGTGTAGAATTAGTTCCGCTTTCTTGAATTTATTTTACTTATAGTTAGGATTTTTAGTTTTTGAAGCTAAACATTATTTTTATACTAAAATTGACGGTTTAATTTATTAAATCATGAATCATTTACATTCGACTCAATTTTAATTAAAATCAATTTACTAAGAATCAATTTTTTTCTTATAGAACCATACAATGATACCATATAATTTTGAATGTATCTGTCTAATTATTTTGCATTGGCCCTAAAACACTAGACCTTAAATTCTAATCAATGGCAAAAAGATGGAGTTTATTAGCTTTGCAAATTCTTTTAAGATCTCTACAACAAAAATGTATCATTTTAGTTTTTCTGCGTTGAACAAAAGAGCGTAAGACAATTTAAAAGACAAACTTTAAAAATATGTACATTGATTATTCCAGTTAAAATCTAGAGTTACACGATACAAATTTCCAGTAAGAACTTCCGCAAGAAAATCGCAACTTTTTATGGCCATTGTTATCTAACCAAGAATGGATGCAACAGTACGAGCCCAGAATTTTAGATTATGTTTCATATCAATCTCACTACCCTTTTCTGGTACTCTCCAATTCACCAATGGATTTCTTCTCCCCCTTAGGTCTACCAAATCCCAAGCCTCAGATAAATAAGGCTTCTCATCAGCTACAACACTTTCATCAATCTTCTTCTGTTCTTCATTTTCTTCTTTTCCTAGTCTTTGTAAACCAGGTATCAATGAAGCCAGTGTTGAATCTTTGTCTTTCTCAGAAAACACAAAACCCAAATCCATAAACCCCTTAAGCTCTTCAAACTCAAGCTCTGATAAACTCCTACTTTTCCTTCTCCTTCTTCTCTGACTCTGACTGTGATTGTTACTGTTACTCTGTTTTTTCTTGTTGTTTATATCTTTCTTTTCGGTGCTTGTCCCGTTTGAGAATTCTATGATTTCTCTCTCCGAAGGGATTGTTCGAAGCTTAGATGAAGTGAGGACAGAATTTGGTGATGGAGAATCAGAGAAAACGGAGCCTGTGAAACTCAAGTTTTGTTCACTATAGAACCTAACATCCAGATTTGGAGTTGGAGCTAAGAGGTTTGTGTCTTCTTGAGGAAGAGTTTGTTCTAGTTTTGTGTGAGAATTTAAAGGGTTTTTGTTAGTAAGAATTGTTGTTTCAAACCAGAAGGAATCTAACAACGTTAGAACTTGTTCTGCAGACATTACTTTGTTGTGTGTTGCAAGTGAATGAGTTGGATATTGGATATGTTAGAGAAAGATATGAGAAGGTTGGAGAGAGTTATTATAAGTTTGGAGATAAGAAGAGAAATTGTCAATGTATTTTATTTTATATATAGAAGGTTACATTTCTTTCTAATTGCCTAAGATTTTCTACTTTTGTTTTATTCCCATTTTTATTCGAATGCACTTTGAGAAGTTTCAGGCAGCTTTCTTGTTAATTTGTAGAATTTTACGAAAATCATAAAACTCATATAATTGTTTTATTTTTTGTAAGGTAAGGATATGTTTGGCGTGCATGATAGAAAGTAATATGACTTGGTAATGATAAAGAAATTGAGTAAAAAACAATATAATATTGACATAATATATATATATATATATATATATATATATATATATATATATATATATATATATATATATATATATATATATATATATATATATATATATATATATATATATATATATATATATATATAAATATGAAAAACAAGTGTAACTTGTGTTGAAAAACAAATGTGAGTTCAAAGTCTCACATTCCTTAGAAATGTTAGGGTTGGACACTTTATAAGTGGGATAACCCATAAATCTATTATCACTTTAAGATTTTGGATGAATATATGGTGTCTCTCTCACTTATTTGGGCGAGTCTTTGACATTTAGGTGAATGTTTGACCCGATGTGCATACTTCTCCCTAATGATAATCTATCAGTGGTATCAGAGTCGATGGTTCTAGTAAAGGACAGACTCCTTATGTCGAAAATCTTCCTGATATGGTGGTTTGGCGGCGTGTTCCGTTGAAGTGCCCATGACGAGATATGGTGTATCTCAATAGCGGTACAAGCATGTGGATGAAAGAGCTTCCGCTTGAGGGGGAGCATAGGGGATGAACTCATACTTGAGGGGGAGATTGTTAAGATACAAGTGTGAGTTGTGTTGAGAAATAAGTGTGAGTTCTAAGTCCCACATTGCTTAGAAAATTGAAGGTTGAACACTTTAAAAGTGAGATGACCCATAAATCTATCACCTTAAGATTTTGGGTGAATATGTGATATTTCTCTCATTTGTTTGGGTGACTATTTGACCTTTAGGTGAGTGTTTGACTAAAGGTGTATACATCTCCCTCACGATAACTCGTCATTATATATATATATATATATATATATATATATATATATATATATATATATATATATATATATATATATATATATATATATATATATATATATATATATATATATATATATATATATAATGAAATCAGTGGGTGCGGACTAGCCACTCATACCAGTTAGATTATGAATATGAGGGTAGAGGAGTCCAATAAATCATAAGTCTATAGTTGCAAGTAATCCGATGAAAATATATGTGATATTGTTGGTTTATTGATCATTTTTAAACCACTACTTTGATTTTCTTATGTTTATTTTTTAACTCGTCCAAACGACATCATTTAGGATGGAGTTAAAAAATATTTTAAACTAATATTTTTCATTCCTCACATTTAAAAAATCTTTTGAAATATATTGTATTGTATTGTTATAACTTATTTGAACTTGTGTTCATTTTGTGATTGTGTGATTCGAGTAAGACACTGAACGGTCCCTCAGACGAAGACTATAAGTATATCGTTGTTCATGTAGTTTTAAAATAGATTGTCGAACCCACAGGGAAGCGATAATCAAATTAATGCAATCTAAATGTTGCAGTGCAAATTTAAGGCTAAAGATTACATATTTAATACGGGAATAAAGAGTTTCTAATTCTAGAGGGTTTTTAAAATTAAAGATAAAAATGAGTCCGAAATATTGATTTCGCGTACCTAAAGGACTTGTAGAAATCGGATGCTAATTACATCTGAATACAATTCCATAGAAAGTACTAACTTAAAGATTCCGTCTCACACTTTCGTGCTATCGACAAGAACCACAACTTCCAACCACTGGATTTTGCTCTCGCTCGCCCGTTTCAATTAGAAAGTGTATTTTGAAAATTAATAAAATTCTAAACGATGCCTAAAGCGCTCTCTCTGTTTTTAGGTTCGATGCCTAGTTTCCACTATCATTTCTTTCCTCATACTATCGCGCTATCGATCCGAACTTAGTATATTTCTCACTCTCGTGACAAAATAATAAAACGCAAAGAATAGAAACTAAAATAAAAACTAACATAAAATTCATAATTTTTCACCTATATTTTATATGGAGTCCCGTCGGTGACGAGGTCCTCATACGCCAAACTCAAAAGAATATAGCAAGACATGGTATAAATCACGGGAAACGTAGTAACGGGAATCATACTTGAATTTAACATGGCATAAATCCAAAAATAACAATAATGTAGTAATAAAAATAAGAAATAACCTGTAAGATGAAATACAACTGAAATTAATAGAATTATGTCGGCAGACTTGTTCCGATTCCAAATTACAGCAAAGTAAAAGAAAAAGAAAATACAAAGTGCGACAATTCCTCGATGTGAGCAATTGCCGCTTTGAAAAGTAAATATATGCCTAAAAACTATAAGGATTTCAACAGAGCTTTTGCGGGATAAAAATCTTCGTGTTTGGAACTGATCAGGGTAGCCTATATATAGAGAAAGAGACTTCCCAACTGTTCTGGTCGTGGGAGGAAAGAGTGGGAAAAATGCAACTGCCAGAGAACGATTTGCAGAATTGAAATTCTGCAACTCCGCTGCCATGGCGAACACCATTAGGTCATGGTGAATGCCATGGCCTTGAATCATTAATTGATGTGGCAGGCTGATTATGGCGAACTCCATATGGACATGGCGAACACAATATCAGCAAAAGAAGCAGAATCTTTATCTTTCTTGCTGTATTTTCTCTTCTTTCACTCCTCTTCCGCTTCTCTCCCGATTCTGCAACGAATGAAACTATTAACTGTAAAACACACAAAACAAAGTAAAATGAAAATAAAACGCGATAAAAGACGGATAAATAACATGCATAATGAACCTAAAAGAATGATACAATTTCTCGTTATCAAACTCCCCCACACTAAGACTTTTGCTTATCCTCAAGCAAACTCCCAACACATATTAAAAGTGTAGGTGCAGTATTTCGAAACAAAAGCACGACTCTAGAATGGTACACAGTTACTAAGCTAATGCTAAGAGGATAGGTACTAAACTATGATAACAAGGATACCATAATTTCACATATCCGCACTCACGGCCAAAAACTCCCCTCTATGAGACACCAATCCAAATCATTCTATTATAGCTTGACCTATATTCCTCATTTATTTTTCTCTCTTTTTTATTCTCGTGCAATCACATTAAGCTCGTTATCCCCGCACTCGCATGGTAAGTGAACTTGTTTGTGTTTATGATCTCGGTATTTGACTTTTTGTGATTTCTTTTCGAATTTCAAAAATCTGATCTGTTGGGCTAAATGGACGGGTGATTACCACTTAACTTAGAGGGAACCAAATCTTTTCGTTCGCTTTTCTATAACACAATTCAATTCAATTTGTTATTTTTGAGATCACCATATATTTGCATCGGTTCATTACTTAGCATGCCCTAGGATGGTGTTGACCGCTAGCATAGACTATTCAAGAGACTACTACACAAACTTGGAAATCAAGGTCTCGGCATAATAGTTATTTAAATCAATGCCGCATACTTAGGGAATCTAGGGTGTTGGGACGATACCGATATTTATCAAAACTTTCCAAAGTCTAATTAACATAGCCTAAAAACAAAGAGTGTCATGCTAATCAATTGAAAAAATAAAAAAAAAAGTTTGTTGGGGAATTTTTTTATTAATCTTAGGGGAATTATCTAACAAAAGAAAAAGATAGCATTCAATAGGACTTAGTTGACGCGCAAAAGACTCGACACGATTAAAATAGGATTAAACTAACTAGAAAAAATAAAAGCAACATAAAAATAATGAAAAACTAGAAACAAAGCAATAAAGCTCCTCCCCCACGCTTGAACTAAGCATTGCCCCCAATGCTTTAATGAAAGGTGAAAGAAGAAGTGGTGAAACCTGGTGAAATCAATGGTGACAGCCACGGCCGCGAGGGCGTTCAAATCCTCTGCCAAGGGCAGGGTTAGGAACATGCTGTATGAATTCCCTCATGGATGACATCCATCCTCATACCCTTCATCTGCTCGGTGAGATCTCCCATGTCATGCTCGATCCTGTCGGCGAAGTCTATATGCTGCTGACTGACATGGTCGACGGCAACTTGAAGCCCATCCTGTTGTCTCTGCATATTTTAGAGCAGCATATCACGCTCCGCCTCTCTATCATTCCGATATCGGAGCCCGAACAAAAAATTTCTAAAGCAATCCAAGTATGAGGCGTCCCGATTGAATGAGTCGTCCATTTGCGGTTGAATGAGTCGTCCATTCCGGTAATATAGGTGGTATGAGGCGTCCTGATTTCAAGTAAACTTGAACAAAATGAATTGATTTTGAAAGCCATCCAATACACATGATGTAATCATTTGGATTTTGGGATGTTGTGGTGTGCAGTGGATAAAAGGTTTCAGAAAACCCGTAGCGTGTCAGGTCAGGCACACCCTATCATATACAGATGCAATTAGGTGACTCATATCCGGGAAGCTCATCCATTTTGACTCTGGTGCCTGACCGCTTAAGCAAGGAATAAGTGACTCATAAACCGCATCGAATTTTTTCTGTACAACCGCGTGTATGATTCCTTATGCGTCTTCAACCCTTGGATAAGTTGATGGCGGACAAACGCATGACTATCTTCTCCCTTACCAAGTAAATCCGAAATGGCTCGGTAACAACAATTACCGTCTCCCGCAACATTGACGATATGATCGATATATTTGTGCATAAAAATTGGCATCTCGTCAATGAATGGAATCTTTGGTGGAAACGACGTCGAGACGGTTTGCTAATTTGAGCTCCTTTAACAACATTTTTTTGAGATTTTGGAGTTGGTGAGTCGGGAAATACTTTGTCAACATGT